CAAACAGTTGAGCACTAAAAATGTGTTTAAAATTTGCCAAAAAAGGAGTTATATTTTGTAAATGAATTCAAAACGAGTCAAAAAGATAATGAATTTTAAAGGAGTCCTAAAGAAAACAATTTTATTATTCAAAAATAATACATAAGCAAGAAATATATGAATCGATTTATATATAACCTATTAAAACACGTTTTGCTCAGAGAGAGAGAGAGAGAGAGAGAGAGAGACTTAATATAGCCTTAAAATAAAGTTTTATGAATGCGGTAGTCATGAAGAGGGAGAGTTTTAGGGCAAAAAATATATATACCGTTATATAATGTCTTTTAAAAACATATTTGTGTCTAATTTTGGCTCCAAAACAACGTCTGGAGAAATAAATATATAAAACACTTCTCATTGAATATTAAAAAACACAATAATTATTATATGCCGTGAAATAGTTAGAGAGACTTCTGGATGCATAGGAAACAAAAAATTGTTAATATCATTGCATTTATTCATACCATTCATACATTTTATACATAATAATTTCAGTAATCTCTTGTGTTTTTACATCATATATAAGCTTATAATAGGTTTTGTCTGCCGTTTGAATATTATTTTCATTTTGAAAAATATAAATATGTATTTTTAATTTTATATTTTCTTTATTCAACCAATGGTTTAGTGAAAAGGGATTTAAAAATTAATGGGAAAAAATTAATATCAGGCACACGAACGCCGAGATTATGTGATGTGTTATTTAACTCAATACTCGCACACAATTGATAAGAGATTTTTATTTTTACAATACAAGTAATTTTGACTGAAAACACATATTATGTAATTTGAAAGTGCATTTTGTTGTACGCGATTGTGTGTGCACTATATGTTTTGTTTGTTAAACTAAACATAGTAAAATGGTGTGTGTGCCTTGATTATAGCCATTCTCATACAAGCATATAACCTATTTGATTAGTTACATAGATAGTTAATAGACACGTGTCATTTTTTCGGCTAGATTCATAATAACTAAATAACGCTTCAAATGAGTACTTTTTCCAGAAATATTTTTCCAATGAAATTAGTTTTATAAATAAATATAATATTTTAATCTGTTGTGTGACTAAAGAGATTGAAAGCAAAAATTGGTTCACAATTTATATATGAAACAAAAAATTGTTAATATCATTGCATTTATTCATACCATTCATACATTTTATACATAATAATTTCAGTAATCTCTTGTGTTTTTACATCATATATAAGCTTATAATAGGTTTTGTCTGCCGTTTAAATATTATTTTCATTTTGAAAAATATAAATATGTATTTTTAATTTTATATTTTCTTTATTCAACCAATGGTTTAGTGAAAAGGGATTTGAAAATTAATGGGAAAAAATTAATATCAGGCACACGAACGCCGAGATTATGTGATGTGTTATTTAACTCAATACTCGCACACAATTGATAAGAGATTTTTATTTTTACAATACAAGAAATTTTGACTGAAAACACATATTATGTAATTTGAAAGTGCATTTTGTTGTACGCGATTGTGTGTGCACTATATGTTTTGTTTGTTAAACTAAACATAGTAAAAACGGTGTGTGTGCCTTGATTATAGCCATTCTCATACAAGCATATAACCTATTTGATTAGTTTGATTTGATAGATAGTTAATAGACACGTGTCATTTTTTCGGCTAGATTCATAATAAATAAAATAGCGCTTCAAATGAGTACTTTTTCCAGAAATATTTTTCCAATGAAATTAGTTTTATAAATAAATATAATATTTTAATCTGTTGTGTGACTAAAGAGATTGAAAGCAAAAATTGGTTCACAATTTATATATAAATACATATTAATAATAACTGTTATATTTCATTGATTTTGATTGCCGGCCGAAGTATTCATTAGAAAATTACATGCATTTTAATGTCTAACCGTATATTGAATACAACAGATCTGTTTTCACGCAATTAATATATTGTCTGCTATTTTACACAAACTTTCCCAAAAATTGCTATAATAAATGGATAGGAATTGCAGGCCTTCTGTACCACAAAACCGATCATTATTTGTATTGAAAAATACACTTTTGTCTGTTATATACATATTATTAAACAATAATGTTTCAGATATTTCGTGAACAGACAAAATAAAAACAATATTTTCTCTCCACTTCTTGTAATACCGTTTGGGATAAGAGTTGAGTAAACTATAGACAAACATAAAGGGCTTTGATTTCGGCATTTTTTTATTGTTTATAATTCTCTGTATTTTTTTCAATTCATTCACTCAATAAACGTTTGAATTCATTAAATACACACAATATTAAACTCTGTGTCCGGAAAACACTTATTATTATGAAGTGAAGTGTAGTGCAAACCCAGAATCCAGTTATCATATATTTTTATTTTTACGTTATTTAATAATAAAAATACGTGTTTTTCTATTTAAATCTGCTTTTATTTTATATTTGCGTTATATTTCAGATATAATTTACTTATTTTCTATATATGTTATATATATTTGTCGAGAGAGAGAGAGAGAGAGAGAGAGAGAGAGAGAGAGATCAATAAGTTATTGATATGAAAGTGAATTGAACTCCAACTGAACCAAAATCTCTGGACAATGAATGCAATGATATTTCTCCCTCTCTTACTCTCATATAAATATACATTTATATAAGTTAGTAAGACTATAAACAAACAATAATATAAGATCCAGCTGAGAGAGAGAGAGAGAGAGAGAGAGCTATTTTATATGCACTTAAAATACTTTTTATAGTAAATCCTGTAAATTGTACACAAATTAATGTGAGTATTGAATCGTTTTTTGACTGTTTTTTGTGAAATATATTTTTGAACTGAAAATTATGTTTCAAACGAAGAGATGAAGAATTTAAGTGAATTAATAAATATAAATAAGAGATGACCTAAATTTGTGCGATCCGTTTGTAGGCCCTGTGCTCTCACTTTTGCCATACATTTTGCACACAAAACTACATACGATTAGATTAAATACATTAAATACATGTGGTTTTAGTCTAAAATGCACACCAATTTCGCAGTTCACATATCATTGCATTCATTGTCCAGAGATTTTGGTTCAGTTGGAGTTCAATTCACTTTCATATCAATAACTTATTGATCTCTCTCTCTCTCTCTCTCTCTCTCTCTCTCTCTCTCTCTCTTCTCAGCAAATTCCTAATAACTTGAGGGCAGTTCGCAAATACACTACCTGTGCGTGACTTGTGTTGTGGGCATTAATACCGCAATCGTCATCGCATTGGCGGATAGCATCCCATCACAAGACTGGTTATTAATCTCTCTCTCGTTCTCTCTCTCCCTCTCTTACTCTCATATAAATATACATTTATATAAGTTAGTAAGACTATAAACAAACAATAATATAAGATCCAGCTGAGAGAGAGAGAGAGAGAGAGAGAGAGAGAGAGAGAATACGTTTGGGGAGAGAAGAAAAACCCGTTTTATTGGGTCGACTGTGACCTCAAATTCGACACATTTTGCGTTCAAAACTCTTTGAGTGAACACTAAAATCACTCACAAATTTCATCCTCACGTTTATAACAGTACACTCTATTCGCAGTTCAGTCATACATACCATACATACATGTATTATACAGTGAATGTATGATAACGTTAATATGTGTCTCCTATGATAGTATGATATATTCTTCGCCCTCAGTATTGCTGTGCATTTTTCGCCTTTCAATTATAGGTCAGTAGTTGTGTATTCAATCTCTCATTTCCCAGTCCACCAGCGCTTCCCATCTCAACAGTAAAGTACTTATGAACGCAACACTTCTTGCGGCCGAAGAAGTTTTGTCGTGTGTTTCAGTGCTTTAATTATCGTTAGGAAAAAAAGTTAAACATAAAAATTATGTTAATTTCTAATCACAATCACCAGCGGGTCGGCGGACACACATCCACGAGGAGTGGACCACAACAGTGTTCGCGATCGTGTCTGCGGTCATCACTACCATTAGCCCCATTACCCATTGTGCTATCATTGTTCATCGTAATGAGCCAGGTGCTTTTAGTGTGTGTGGACGCACAGGGAGTGCTTATGCCCAAACGGATAGTGCAGCAAATCAGCGAGAAGATTAAGTTACCCCACTATTCGCAGCTCGAATTGGACGAGGCATTCAATCTCGGTAAGAGCCGAGTGGTCGAAAAGTTGCGCCACGAGTCGGATCTGGTGCGCGACGGTATGACCACTGATATGAACAAAATCACGGCCACGAGTCGTCACCAGGCGGTCACCACAACCGGCGATCGGGGCAACCAATACGACCACATGCAGCACGTGTTCGAGGAGACGAGCAAAATATTGCTCAAGAATATTACTCACGGTATGACCGATCAGATGGACTTCGCCGAGTCGGCGATGGCTCTGTCGGCCATACCGTTGACGGCGTCGTCGATCGCCCGCCAGGCGGTCCACCGGTGCCAAGAGGAGCAGTTCGTTCACTGCCGACCCTCGCGTTACCGGACGGCCGACGGCTCGTGCAATAATCTCCATCACCCGACTTGGGGCAAGTCGTTCAGCTGTTTCGTGCGGCTAATAGCGCCCGATTACGCCGACGGCCAATCGGCGCCCCGCATATCGGTCACCGGCCATCCGTTGCCCAACCCTCGCATATTGTCGGCGGTGGTCCACCGGGACCTAAACTACCCGGCCACCTACACGCACATGGTCATGCAGTATGGTCAGTTCTTCGCCCACGACATCGCATTCACGCCCAGCTCGCGCACCAAAGACGGCAAAATGATTCAGTGCTGTCCGTTGGAGGCCAACAGTCACCCCCAGTGTTACCCCATTCTCGTCCCAATGGACGACCCCTTCTACTCGAAATGGGAGGAGAATTGTCTCAACTTTGTCCGCACGGCTATGTGTCCGCAGTGCCGACTCGGCCCACGGGAACAGATGAATCAGATCACCGCATATATCGATGGCTCCCAACTGTACGGCTCGATGCAAAACGAGACCGAATCTCTGTGGACTAAGACCGGTCCGGCCGGCCGTATGCACGTATCGCTGGCCAGAAATGGTGGCGAACTGTTGCCCCACTCGCCTGAGCCCGACAGCGACCAGTGCTCTAAACCCGAAGATCAACAGTTTTGCTTCAAAGCTGGCGACAAGAGGGCTAACCAACACCCGGCGCTCACATCACTCCACGTCCTTTGGCTCCGACAACACAACCGAGTGGTCAATGAGCTCAAGAATGTGAACCCGCACTGGAATGGAGAGCTCCTCTACGAAGAGGCTAAGTATGTGTTTAAATATGTCTTATTTTTGTGATTAGTTTATCTGTTTTTTTTTGTTACGTTGTGTTGAAGTTATTAATTCAGGCATTCATTTAATGCGATTCTCAATGAATGGGTAGAGAAATGAGTTATTATTGTATTATATTTTTATATTTATTATTTAATGTAATAATAGAATCGCTTTAATAGTTGTTTTTAGTGGTCGTATGAGAAATACAATGCAAACAAATGGCTTGAAATACCGCTTTTCCCGTACGGAAAGCGTGGATAAGTGTGCTATTCATGTGCTTTTGAAAAAAGTTTTAAAACTTTTTATGTGAATGAGAGAGAGAGAGAGAGAGAGAGAGAGAGAGAGAATTATAGATAAAGTAAAACAGGCGACAAATGAACATGAACACATTTCTTGTTAGACATGTATTAATATTTAGTTTAATATTTAGAAACGGATTTTTAAACCACAAAATAACCTTATTTTAAATTGACTAAAAAACGCTTTGTGTACATATTTTAATAATGAATTTTTTATTTTTTTATTTAGCAAAAAATTAATGAAAACATGTTTAGATTGTAATTAATTAGAGACTCCGCTCCTGAGCCGACACACTCAGGAGACCCTAAGCCGACAAAACCGATACATAATTAAGTAACTCCCGGTGCTATCAGTCTTTTATGATGATAAAACAACACATAACACAACAAAAACAGGGTAAAAAACATGGGAGTGAATGATAGAGGGGTAGGATATAAGTGAGAGGGGCTGAGGGGAAGGGGGCGAATGAGTTTTTTACCATTTTGTATTTGTACAGTAATCCAGTGGTTGACTGCAAGAGTTTGGGCGACACAATGCTGGGCGCGTGGAGAACTGCCTTTTGTTATGTGCGTGGAATAGAAAACTTTTATAAATTCATTCATTTAGTTCAGTGTTTATCATAAAACATCGATTAATCTCAAAATAAATGATTTAATTTCTAACACAAAACCAATTTGTCTCACACTCTGGCCGTAACCAACCAAAACAGACGGATAATAGTGGCGCAGATGTCGCACGTGGTGTACGCGGAATGGCTGCCGCTGGTCGTGGGTCCGGACGCCATGAAGTTCCTGAAGCTCAGCGTATTGGCCGACGGCTACACGGAGTACGACCCGCACGTGAACGCCGGCATCATCAACGAGTTCGCCGGCGCCGCCTTCCGGTTCGGCCACTCTCTAGTCAACAGTGTTTTCGCCGAAATACTGCCCAATGGGAAGACGTCCGGCTATCGGCTCCGGGAGTTCTTCTTCAACCCGTTCGGCTTCTACGAGGGACAGCTCGACTCTGTACTGCGCGGTCTCATCAGTCAAGCCGCCCAGAATCGGGACCCGTTTGTCAATTCAGACATGAAGAACCACTTGTATCGACCCAAAGACAATCCATACGGTCTGGATTTGCCCGCCTTTAACATACAGCGGGCCAGAGATCACGGCATTCGCGGTTACACCAGTTATTTGAAGTTCTGCTTCGACGAGAAGATCTCCCACTGGAACCAATTGGACCAATACATGCCTACCTCCCAGAGAATGCGCTTCCAGAACCTATACAAGTATGTCGTTTTGTGTCTTACCATGTGTTGTGATATTGTTTTTAATTGTGTTTTTATTTTGTGGTGATAATTAGATCGGTCCACGATTTGGATCTATTCTCCGCCGGTTTGGCAGAGTATCCATTGCCGGGAGCGGCGGTCGGCCCGACATTCACCTGTATTATTGGTATACAGTTTTATAATCTTAAATACGGCGACAGATTCTGGTTTGAACACAAGAACCAAATCGGATCATTCACTCCAGGTTTGCACATATCCTATATAATCAATCAATTATTATTATTAATTGAATTAATATTAGTTAATCCTTAATATATTGACAAAAATACTAAACACATTTGCATTAATCCATCAAGGTCAATTACATGAGATCAAGAAGATTACTTTAGCCAAATTGATTTGTGCCAATGGGGACGACATCCAGTTTGTCCAGAAGAATGTTTTCAGGGGAGAGTCGGCCCGGTATGTGATATGATTAAAGCATTTATTCATATTGTATTCATTTTGACCATAATGACAATATTTGTTTTTTACCATTTTGTATTTGTACAGTAATCCAGTGGTTGACTGCAAGAGTTTGGGCGACACAATGCTGGGCGCGTGGAGAACTGCCGCCGGAGCAGGTTAACTTATCTATATCACTATCATTCGCCCCCTTCCCCTCCCCTTCAGCCCCTCTCACTTATATCCTACCCCTCTATCATTCACTCCCATGTTTTTTACGCTGTTTTTGTTGTGTTATGTGTTGTTTTATCATTATAAAAGACTGATAGCACCGGGAGTTACTTAATTATGTATCGGTTGTGTCGGCTTAGGGTCTCCTGAGTGTGTCGGCTCAGGAGCGGAGTCTCTAATTAATTACAATCTAAACATGTTTTCATTAATTTTTTGCTAAATAAAAAAATAAAAAATTCATTATTAAAATATATACACAAAGCGTTTTTTAGTCAATTTAAAATAAGGTTATTTTGTGGTTTAAAAATCCGTTTCTAAATATTATACTAAATATTAATACATGTCTAACAAGAAATGTGTTCATGTTCATTTGTCGCTTGTTTTACTTTATCCATAATTCTCTCTCTCTAGATTTCTGAAAAAGTGCGAACGTAATATGTGAACAAAGCCTAAGTTATATATCTTTTTAAAATCCCAGAAAATAAATAAATAAAATTCAAATGAGATTTAAAAATCAAGAAATAATTTGTTTATTTTCTTCCACTGAATAAGTAATTAATTTTATCTCAATATAAATATAAAACTTTCAATTATTTATGTATTTTCTGCACAAAAAATTCCCGTTATTTCCTGACATATAATGTTTTAATTAAAAGGTAATTAAATAATATTGATTTGAATACTCGTCTAATGACTATTCATTAGATTTTTGTTATTTATTACTTTTTTCGCTATAAAATTAAATATATCTAAAAATATACTCTTTATAAAGACATTTGCGAAATACTTAAACAATATATTTATTGAATTGAATTACTTTACAAATTATATTTTCAGTCGTAAATCCGGTCGACAAATGGCTTAGTTATTGATAAAAATACACATTTCGTTAGCTCTAAAGCTACTAAAAAATACGATTTTATTTTTATTATATATTTGACGTATAATTAAATTATTAAGTTATTTGCTATTTATTTATAACTTACTTGAAAGCCATTTATGAATACAGAATTTTACTCTTTATGATTGATTTATTGGCTTTTGGATCACATTTTTAGACAATATCTCAATAAAAATTTTCTAATAATTTTTGCGAAAACCATTTACTATAGAAAATTCAGTGCATTTTCTTACAGGCAATCAATTCATTATTCACTTTTTGCTCAAACAGTTGAGCACTAAAAATGTGTTTAAAATTTGCCAAAAAAGGAGTTATATTTTGTAAATGAATTCAAAACGAGTCAAAAAGATAATGAATTTTAAAGGAGTCCTAAAGAAAACAATTTTATTA